CCGGGAAGAGAAGGGGAGGAATCAAGAGATTCAACCAGAGACTCTGCCCGACTGCGACTCAGTCAACACATTCTCCAGGAACGGTCTTCCCAGGAATATACAAAAGACTATATGTAAATATTGTGTACACTTTCTTGTTTCAATACATTTTGTTCTAACTACATTTTGTGTTGCATTATTATTCCATGCATTAGTCAAGTTTCAACAGTATATTAACAAAAACAGTGATACAAACATATACAAAAGAGAGTGTTGCAGCAAGAATGTTCGGCCCGACAGTCAGAGCTGACTGCTGGAAAATTACCTCTTCAAAAGGCAGTACCTGCTCCTACTTATAGCTAGGAGAGTCTATGAGTACGTGAGTAAATTACCATAACAGATAGATAGATAAATGGCTCAGATAAAAAAAAATGACTGAGATAGAAATAAAGAAACTGACTGAGATAGATAGATAGATAGATAGATAGATAGATAGATAGATAGATAGATAGATAGATAGATGAAGTTAGGTAGGTAGGACGATAAGTAGATAGATAGTGTTGTGGCCGTGTTAGGGCCAGAAATAAAGACACAAAGAAAGAAATTGAGTTAAACAAATATATTAACAGAAACAGTAATACAAACATATAAAAACGAGAGTCTTACAGCAAAAATGTTCGGTCCGATCGTCAGAGCTGACTGCTTGAAACTTCCTTCTCCAACAGGCAGTACCTGCTCCTATTTATAGCTGAAAGAGTCCATGCGTGCGTGGGTGATTACCATATATATATATATATATATATATATATATATATATATATATATATATATATATATATATATAATAAAAAGGCTTAAACACTAATATTCCATGGTCATAATTTATTCCATTGGAATCGTAATTATGATCTAATTCATCAGACCTACAAATTCAAAAAGAAAACAGAAAAAAACAACTAAAAAAAATAAAATTTAATGAGAGTGTATGTATGAGAGTGTGTGATGCATGTTAGAGTAAATGAAAGCTATAGGGAGGGGTAACAGATGAGAGAAGAACAGGAAGGTCTAAAGATGAAGGGGAGATTAAAATTTAACAGAGAGAAGTTTTAAAGGGGTGAGTCAAAGACGGTTTAAGTGAGAGAAATATGAATATACTCAGATGTCTAATACATTAGTTTTTATTATATCCTTACTCTGTCCCGGACATTGAGTTCTACCTGGATTCTATCCTCTTGGATTTATTTTTTATACAAATATATAGACTGAGTTCTATAGCCTTGGATGGCAACTCTGAATTCAAAACCTGCGGAGTTTTGTTTGGGGACCTTGTGGTTTGTTCTGCACAAAGCACCACTATAATTGAATCATATGTGCTGGTGTCTGAGCTGCCGGTTCCTAGAAACTGAGCTACTTGCCCTTCATACGTCGAATACGACGGGAGAGTTCATATATATATATATATATATATATATATATATATATATATATATATATAATTAGAGATAAGTATAAGTAGATCACCAAAGAGTCTGCCAAAGATTGAAAATTGGAAAAAATAGTAATCAGTGCTATAATAAATGGCAGAGCTTTAATATACTTTAACTCAAATTTCAAATGGGTAGTGACTGACCACGACTACCAGTTATATATATATATATATATATATATATATATATATATATATATATATATAATGTATAATAATTTAGAATGACGATGTTGCGATTAAAATTAAGATAAATTAAGATGAACCAGTTATTGGTGAGCATCACAAACAAAAACCTTTGAATATAATATATATATATATATATATATATATATATATATATAATTTAAATTAAATTCATATATATATATATATATATATATATATATATATATATATATATATATATAATGAATTTAGTATGATGATATTGCGATAAAATGGAAGAGAAATTTAGTTTAAATAGTCACAGATTGATGATAAAGTACCAGCTGTTTTCATTCGAGGAGTTCATGCCTTATTCCGTTTTTTTTTTTTTGTTTTGTTTTGGGTTTTTTTTTCTACGATGATAAAAAAGAGACAGCTAAATACTTTTTGCCTCCTGATAAAATGCAAACTGAGATTGTCTTTACAGAAGACATCCGGTTATCGACGCCAATTGTGATCCGATTTCTGAAGATATTTCATATTAAATGACTAAAGACTTTTTTTTTTTACGGATGAGAAAAATTTCCACACCTGCTTATCGCATTATCAAAGTATGTTTTGTGTTTTATGGCTCTTTTAATTTATTTTTCCTTTGAATGTTTATATCGGCTGTTTTAGCATGAATAACTTACATAAACACACAAGAGTCTCGTATCTCTTCCTTTGTCAATGCAAATCAACATGGCGGCCATTAAGCATTTCCAATTTCATTTAATTTTTTTTTTTTTTTAATTTTTATTTTACTGTTTTCTTCTTTCTTATTTGAACCTTTCCTTCGAATTTTCTCAAATATTAATTCTAAAAGACAGTGACATTAAAGTTAGCGGCCATTTTGATTGTGTCACGTATTGCAGCGTCAACCCTTATTTAATTTATTCGTTTTATTTCCATCTTTTAATTTGCTTTTTTTATCGGTTTATTCTTAATTATTTATTTAGTGTTTATTACTTTTGTTTATATTTCTTATAGTAGCTTCATTCTGCGGAACTTTTTTATTTAAATTAAAAACACAAGAACTAATAAAATGCAGAGAAAACCTTACACTCGTGAATCATTTATAATCTTGGTCCTGTTTACAAATAACACAACAATTAATCACAATTTGCGTGTATTTATCCTCGCGGGAAATATTTAGGTTAATTTCGTTCTGCATATGGCAAAGAACGCCTTTCTTTGTCTTCGTCTTCTTCTTCTTCAATTTTTTCTTCTACTTCAATTTCTTCTTTTTCTTCAATTTCGTTCTGCCCATGGCAAAAATTACATTCTTCTTCTTCTTCTTCTTCTTCTTCTTCTTCTTCTTCTTCTTCTTCTCTTCCTCCTTCTCCGCCTCCTCCTCTTATTACTCCTACTTCTCTTCCTCCTTCTTCTTCTTCTTCTTCTTCTTCTTCTTCTTCTTCTTCTTCTTCTTCTACTTCAATTTTTTCTTCTTCTTCAACTTCTTCTTTTTCTACTTCTTCAATTTCTTCTTCAATTTCGTTCTGCCCATGGCAAAAATTATATTCTTCTTCTTCTTCTTCTTCTTCTTCTTCTTCTTCTTCTTCTTCTTCTTCTTCTTCTCTTCCTCCTCCTCCTCTTATTACTCCTACTTCTCTTCCTCCTTCTTCTTCTTCTTCTACTTCAATTTTTTCTTCTTCTTCAACTTCTTCTTCTTTTTCTTCTTCTTCAATTTCTTCTTCATTTTCGTTCTGCACATGGCAAAAATTATATTCTTCTTCTTCTTCTTCGCTCCTCCTCCTACTACTACTACTTTTTCTTCTTCTTCTTCTACTTCAATTTCTTCTTCTTCAATTTTGTTCGGCATGTAGCAATAACATTTTTTCTCCTTCTTCTTCTTCTTCTTCTTTTTCTTCTTCTTCTTCTTCTTCTTCTTCTTCTTATTATTATTATTATTATTATTATTATACTATTATTATTATTATTCAATTTTGTTCGGCATGTAGCAAAAATATTTTCCCTTTCTTTTTTTCTTCTTCTTCTTCTTCTTCTTCTTCTTATTATTATTATTATTATTATTATCGTTTATTTCAGTTTCATTTTATTTTCTCACTTTTTCTTCATTATTCCTCATTATTATTTCTCTTTATTTAATTCTTTTTTTTTTTTTTTTTTGCTCTTTGATTTTCTTTATTTTCTCTCTTTTTCTTTTTAATCATTTCACCCCAGGCAAGCCGGAAATGCCACTAATATGCGGCGGGGTGGGTGGCTCTGACAGAAGAGTGAAAGTAAGAGAAAAGACTGGGTACAGAGGACACCAACGAAAGGACAAAAGATGAACGAGGTTCAAGACAACAGAAGGTGGCGATTGACGTTGTATTTAAATTTTTGAAGATTGTAGTTTTCAGGGAGGCAATTAAGCGGAAAAGAATTCCACAGGTGGGAAGTGCGAGAAAAGAAACTCTTGGAGTAAAAGTTTTCTTTCTTTGTTTTTCTGTTTTTTTGTTTGTTTTTGGGTTTTTTTTTCGTTACTTTAGTTTTTTTTTTCCTTTTTTTTCTTTTTTTCTTAATTAATTTCTTAAAAATTTTTTTCTTCTTTCTTTGCATCGTGCGCAGAACCGCTCTTGGCGACAAGGTGCATTTCATGCGCACATTCAATAATAGCTGTTAGGCATTCTTTTTCCCCTGTCAGTTTTCTCCCTCTCTCTTTATGTCTCCGCCTATCTCTCTTCTCCCTTTCCCTCTTCGTCACACTCTCACTCACTCACTCACTCACTCACTCAATCTATCTATCTATCTATCTATCTATCTATCTATCTATCTATCTATCTTAGTTTCTTTCTATCTCAACCATTTCTTTATCTATCTATCTATCTATCTATCTATCTATCTATCTATTTATCTATCTATCTCAGTTTCTTTCTTTCTATCTCAACCATTTCTTTATCTATCTATCTATCTATCTATCTATCTATCTTAGTTTCTTTCTTTCTATCTCAACCATTTCTTTATCTATCTATCTATCTATCTATCTATCTAAGTAAAAATGGGTCTTGTGTCCCTCCCTATATCACTGCATAAAAGAACACCATTTTTCTTAAAAACAAAGTTCTACTCCCACTTGTCCTTCTCTGTAAAGTCCTTTCGTTCTTTCTCTTTAACCACTGAATGAATAAAAATACAAATTCTCACTCTTTCTTTGCTACCGCCTTATAATAAAGACTTTACTTTTCCGCTTCCTCTCTCCTCCTTTTTCCACCACCTTCCATGTCCTTTTTTTTCGTAATTCAGCCTGTTCTCCTCTCCTGTTACATAAAGTAGACTTTTCTTTTTCTTCAGATGTTAAAAATAACTAACTCTATGTATGTGTGTGTGTGCGTCAGTGGTGTGTGAGTTACTGAATGTAGAGCATGTCTCTCTCTCTCTTCTTCAGCGTTTTAGATAGATAGATAGATAGATAGATAGATAGATAGATAGATAGATAGATAGATAGATAGATAGATAGATAGATCCAGACGAAATAATGAAGAGATAGATCCCGAAAAATAAGGAAGATAGATGGATCCAGAAAAGGTAACGAAAATAGATGAATCCAGGAGAGATAACGAAGAGAGATAATCCAGAAGATATAATGAAGATAGATAGATAGATAGATAGATCCAAAAGAGATAAATAAGATAGTTAATCCAGAAGTTATAAGATAGATAGATAGATAGATAGATTCCAGAAAAATAATGAAGATAAATGGATCCAGAAAAGATAATGAAGTTAGATAGATATATAGATCCAGAAAAATAATGAAGATATATGGATCCAGAAAAGATAATGACGATAGATAGATAGATAGATAGATAGATAGATAGATAGATAGATCCAGAAAATAATGAAGATAGATGGATCTAGAAAAGATAATGAAGATAATAGATGATGAATAGATAGATCCAGAAAATAATGAAGATAGATGGATCCAGAAAAGATAATGAAGATAGATAGATGAATAGATGGGATAGATCCAGAAAATAATGAAGATAGATGGATCCAGAAAAGATAATGAAGATAGATAGATAGATAGATAGATAGATAGATCCAGAAAATAATGAAGATAGATGGATCCAGAAAAGATAATGAAGATAGATAGATAGATAGATAGATAGATAGATAGATCCAGAAAAATAATGAAGATATATGGATCCAGAAAAGATAATGAAGATAGATAGATAGATAGATAGATAGATAGATAGATCCAGAAAAATAATGAAGATAGATGGATCCAGAAAAGATAATGAAGATAGATAGATAGATAGATCCAGAAAAATAATGAAGATAGATGGATCCAGAAAAGATAATGAAGATAGATAGATAGATAGACAGATAGATCCAGAAAAGATAATGAAGATAGATAGATAGATAGATAGATCCAGAAAAATAATGAAGATAGATGGATCCAGAAAAGATAATGAAGATAGATAGATAGATAGATAGATAGATCCGGAAGAGATAACGAAGAGAGATAATCCAGAAGATATAACGAAGCTAGATAGATAGATCCAGAGGAGAAAATGAAGATAGATCGACCTGATTAAATTCGTTCGTTTTCTGCTGCTTACCAACTGATTGCAAGTTATTTAAAGCCAGAAAATATCGCTAGGTTGTAAGATATTTTTAAATAATAATCATTTAGTGATACAAGTCTTACTAATTAACCCATAGTTGGGGGAGAATGGGTGGATTTATACTTTTCCCCGTGATATTTGCGCATCAGTGAACATAATGGACCCAACTGGAATTGGAACCCCGGCTCTACGATTAACAATTTCGTGACATTATCCATTACAACACCCGTACATCCAAGCTTACACCACCGGGTATTACCACGAGGTCAGCCATCTAGGTACTGACCAGGCTCGACGTTGCTTAACTTCGTTGATAGTATAGGAACCGCTGTTTCGACGTAATGCGACCGTAAGGATAGATAGATAGATAGATAGATAGATTATACTTATATATTTTAAACATCTCTCTCCCTCTCTGTGTCTCTCTCTTTCTCTCTCTCTCTTAGTCCCAGTCTCTCTCTGTGTCTTACTCTCTCTCTCTCTCTCTCTCTCTCTCTCTCTCGCTCTCTCTGATATGTAATAGATCATTTTTCTGTCTACAGGTCTCTTGCTTCCTATTTCTAAAACATGTCTCATTCCCAATCTTTCTTTCTTCTCTCTCTCTCTCCTATTTCCCCCTCTCTCACTCTATTCTTCATACTCTACATCTTTATATGTAAAATTTGGTTCTCTCTCTCTTTCTCTCTCTCTCTTCGTCTCTGTTCTTCAAAGTAAAACATCAATTTCTTTCTATCAGTCTCCCTATATGCAAGACATATTTCTCTCTCATTATCTCTCTCCCCCTATCTACGTTTTTATGTGTCATATCTCTCTTTTCCTGTATAAAACATATACTTCTCTCTCACCCGCGCTATTTCTATATTTCTCTCTCTCTCTCACACACACACACACTCTCTTTCCTTACGTTTTCATATGTAAGACATATCTCTTTTTTTCTCTGTGAATCATTTTCCCTCTCTCACTTTATGTCCTTCGCTCTTTCCCTATCTATCTATCTATCTATCTTTCTATGACATTTTCATCATATCTATCCATCTATCTCAGTAATTTCTTTATCTCTCCTCTCTGTGTGTATAATCTCTTCATTATCTATCTATCTATCACATTTTCTTCATATCTATCTATCTATCTATCACTTTTTGATCATATCTATCTATCACATTTTCTTCATATCTATCTATCTATCTATCTATCTATCTATCTATCTATCTCAGTAATTTCTTTATCTCTCCTTCTCTCTGTGTGTATAATCTCTTCATATCTATCTATCTATCACTTTTTGATCATATCTATCTATCTATATATATATCTATCTATCTATCACATTTTCTTCATATCTATCTATCTATCTATCTATCACTTTTTGATCATATCTATCTATCTATCTATCACATTTTCATCATATCTATCTATCTATCTCAGCCATTTCTTTATCTCTCCTTCTCTGTGTGTATAATCTCTTCATTATGTATCTATCACATTTTCTTCATATCCATCTATCTATCTATCTATCACATTTTCATCATATCTATCTATCACATTTTAATCATATCTATCTATCTATCACATTTTCTTCATATCTATCTATCTATCTATCATCTCTTCATTATCTATCTATCTATCTATCTATCTATCTATCTATCTCTACTGACTTATTTGTAAACCATATCTCTATTTTTCACTGCAAAACATTCATGTTTCTATCTCTCTTTATCTCCCCCACCCTTTCTCTCTCTCTCTCTCTTTGTTTTCTGACTTTTTCTTTAAAACATCAATTTCTCTCTCTCACTCTCTCTCTCTCTCTCTCTCTCTCTCTACGTTTTTATGTGTCATATCTCTCTTTTCCTATGTAAAACATATACTTCTCTCTCTGCCTCGCTATTTCTCTATTTCGCACACTTTCCTTACGTTCTTATATGTACGACATATCTCTCTTTTTGTCCATAAATCATTTTCCCTGTCTCACTTTATCTCCTTCGCTCTTCCCCTCTCTCTATCTCTCTCTCTCTCTCTCTCTCTCTCTCTATCGATCTATCTATCTCTACTGACTTATTTGTCAACTATATCTCTATTTTTTCTCTGTAAAAAACATTCTTCTCTCTCTCTTTATCTCCTCCACCATCTCTCTCTGTCTCTCTCTCTCTCTCTCTCTCTCTCTCTCTCTATCGATCTATCTATCTCTACTGACTTATTTGTCAACTATATCTCTATTTTTCTCTGTAAAACATTCATACTTCTCTCTCTCTTTATCTCCTCCACCATCTCTCTCTGTCTCTCTCTATCTCTATCTCTCTCTATCTCTCTCTCTCTATCGATCTATCTATCTCTACTGACTTATTTGTCAACTATATCTCTATTTTTCTCTGTAAAACATTCATACTTCTCTCTCTCTTTATCTCCTCCACCATCTCTCTATCTCTCTCTCTCTATCGATCTATCTATCTCTACTGACTTATTTGTCAACTATATCTCTATTTTTCTCTGTAAAACATTCATACTTCTCTCTCTCTTTATCTCCTCCACCATCTCTCTCTCTGTCTCTCTCTATCTCTATCTCTCTATCTCTCTCTCTCTATCGATCTATCTATCTCTACTGACTTATTTGTCAACTATATCTCTCTATTTTTTTCTCTGTAAAACATTCAAAATCTTCTCTCTCTTTATCTCCTCCACCATCTCTCTCTCTCTCTCTCTCTATCTTTTATCTCTCTCTATCTCTCTCTCTCTCTATCGATCTATCTATCTCTACTGACTTATTTGTCCTTTATATCTCTATTTTTTCTCTGTAAAACATTCATACTTCTCTCTCTCTTTATCTCCTCCAACATCTCTCTCTCTCTCTCTCTCTATCTCTATCTCTCTCTATCTCTCTCTCTCTATCGATCTATCTATCTCTACTGACTTATTTGTCAACTATATCTCTATTTTTCTCTGTAAAACATTCATACTTCTCTCTCTCTTTATCTCCTCCACCATCTCTCTCTCTCTCTCTCTCTCTATCTCTATCTATCTATCTCTACTGACTTATTTGTCAACTATATCTCTATCTCTTTTTCTCTGTAAAACATTCATACTTCTCTCTCTCTTTATCTCCTCCACCATCTCTCTCTCTCTGTCTCTCTCTGTCTCTCTCTATCTCTATCTCTCTCTCTCTATCGATCTATCTATCTCTACTGACTTATTTTGTCAACTCCTTTATCTCTATTTTTTCTCTGTAAAACATTCATACTTTCTCTCTCTTTTTCTCTCCACCATCCTCTAAATCTCTCTCTCTCTATCGTCTATCTATCTCTACTGACTCAACTATATCTCTATTTTCTCTGTAAAACATTCATACTTCTCTCTCTTCTTTATCTCTCCACCTCTCTCTGTCTCTCTCTCTCAAAAACATTCTATCTATCTATCTATCTCTACTGACTTTTTTATTTGTCAACTATATCTCTATTTTTCTCTGTACAAAAAAAATTCATATTTCTCTCTTTTTGAATCTCATTTCAAACATTCAAATCTCTTCTCTGTAAAACATTTTCTCTCTATCTCATCTCTCTATCTATCTCTCTCTCTCTATCTTTCTATCTATCTCTACTGACTTATTTGTCAACTATATCTCTTTTTTTTCTCATATCTTTAAAAACATTCATTTTACTTTCTCTCTCTTTATCTCCTCCACCATCTCCTATCTCTCTCTCTCTCTCTATCGATCTATCTATCTCTACTGACTTATTTGTCAACTATATCTCTTTTTCTCTGTAAAACATTCATACTTTCTCTCTCTTTATCTCCTCCACCATCTCTCTCTCTCTCTCCATCTCTATCTCTCTCTCTCTCTCTCTCTATCTATCTATCTATCTCTACTGACTTATTTAAATTGTCCGTGTTTTATATCTCTATTTTATCATTTTGTTTAAAAACATTCAAACTTCTCTCTCTCTTTCCTCCTCCTCATTTCTCTCTCTCTCTCTCTCTCTCTCTCTCTCTCTATTTCTATCTATCTTTCTATCCCTGTCTTTAAAATTAAAAGTCTTCTCTATCTATTTTATTTCTAGGTAAGTTTCACGTTTCCTCAATTTTTTCTTCTCCATACTTCTCTCTCTTTTTCTCTTGAACCATCTCAAAATTTAAAAACGCCAAAAACGGCTTTTCTGTAAAATCTCATATCTCTATCTCTCTCTCTCTCTCTCTCTTTTTCTATCTATCTATCTCTTCCCATCTGTCTTTGTGCAAAAAAGAATCTTTTTCATCTCTATCCCCATTTTTTCTCTGTAAAACACGTTCTCTCTTCTCTCATCTAGTTCTTTATCTCTCTCTCTCTCTCTCTCTCTCTCTCTCTATCAGTCTATCTATCTCTCCCTGACTTTTATTTGTCAACTATTCTCTCTATTTTTTCTCTATATAAAACACGTTTCTCTCTCTTCTCCATCTCTCTCTCTCTCCTCTCTCTCTCTCTCTCTCTCTCTCTCTATTTCGATCTATCTATCTCTAAACTGACTTATTTGTCAATTCTCTATCTATCCCCCCATTTTTTTTTTCTCTGTAAAACATTCATACTTCTCTCTCTCTCTTTACTGTCTCTCCTCTCTCTCTCTCTCTCTCTCTCTATCTCTATCTCTCTCTCTCTCTTTCTTTATGTAAAAGTAAGTTCTTCGTTCTCTAGTTTCTTCTATCGTACTTATCGCTTGTGGACATCTCTTCTGGATTCTTGCTTCCCAGCCAACTTTGATCTTCAAAAAAGTCAATGCAATGTCAATCTTTATCTTCTGCTTGATTAATTTTTATTCTTTTATTGTCCTTTCTCCTTACTAGTTTTTCTCATATTCTCTCACACACCTTGCGCTTTAGTGACTATTTCATCTATGTCTATCTTTTCTCTGTTCTTATTCTCTAATTCTCTTTTCCTCATTTTGTAGTTCGTTTTCCTTCTATTCCTCCATATCTTTCTTTCATTTTCTATACTGTTATATTTATTCTATATAACAAATGCGAATGTCTGTGTGTATCACACATTTTTAACTTTACTCCTAGGGGTCGTAGGTTAACATATATCATACCATTTTGTAATCAGGCCGACTCCGTGAGCAAATTAAAAACATTCAGGCCAGATCTGGACCCACAATCCTCAAGTGTACATTACAGTATTTTTTCGGATTCCGCCATCTTGACTTCTACTGATAAAAAAAAAACAAATAAAGGGACATAACTCTCTAACTTTCAATAGCTAATGTTGAAATGCAAAAATTACTGTTCTTAATGTTAAAAATTAAATTAAAATTAAATTAAAAAAATGTCCGTGTTTTCAACTTTAATCTTAAAGACCGAACCCCAATATGTCGTACCATTTTGGAATCATGCCGACTCCGTGAGCAAATTAAAAAATTTTGCGAACCGGATCCGGACCTTCAATCCTGAAATTTTGGATTCCCAAGTTTTCATTTCTGTCATTGTTTTCCGCGATGTTTTTACGTGATCTTTTGCCAAGATTTTTTTTTTTTTATGATAACAATTTTTACAAGTTGGAAATAAATTTGGGAATAATCGATTTTAAATCTCTCTCCGAAATCCAGCGAAAGTCACTTCAACGAAATAAAAAATACATTTTTTTGTAGGGAAACACGTTTCCTCCCTTTCCCATCAAACTGTCTTTAATTTAAGTGGCGGCAGAAGAATTATATTTGAACTTTTAAGAGGTAAGTTTAAATATCAATTCAATAGTTAAATGCTTTCGATCAATTTTGTGAGTTCTTCTGTAGTTTATTGTTGCTTATCGCCTCTCTCTCTCTCTACCTACCTCTCTGATGAAGGCCCAATCTATCTATCTTTCCTCCGTGTCTTTTTTGGGTTAAAAGTCTTTCTTCGCTCAATTAGGACGGCATTTTTGTTCTTATGTATTAATATGATTGTTATTTTTAGTGGGTACACGTGTTGCTATACAACAAAAAATAGTGTTTACAGTAATAAGAAATAATATCGAATAAAAAACATCCTTTCAAAAATCAATGTTGTTATATGTAAAACATCTTTCTCCATCTCTCGTCATGCAAAACAAGAATCTTTTTCTTTCTTTCTTTCTTTCGGTCTCTCTCTATCTATCTATATATCTATCTGTCTATTTAACTATCTCTCTTTTATCCCTGTCTTTTTTCATATGTAAAGCGTTTTTTCATCCTCTAGTTCTCTTATCTATTCCCATTTCATACTTACATATAAGACACGTCCCTCTTTCTCTCCTCCTATCTATCTATTTATCTATCTATCTGTCTGTCTATCTTTTGTATGTAAAACGCCATTTTATTTCTCTAATTCTCTTTCTATCCCCATTTTGTTCTTATATGTAAAACACGTTTCTCTCTCTTCCTCCATCACTCTCTTCTCTCTCTCTCTCTCTCTCTCTCTCTCTCTCTCTCTCTCTATTTCTATCTATCTTTCTATCCCTGTCTTTTAAATGTAAAAAGTCTTTTTCTTCATTCTCTAATTCTCTTTCTATCCCCATTTTGTTTCTTATATGTAAAAACACGTTTCTTCTCTCTTCCTTTCCTCTCTCTCTCTCTCTCTCTCTCTCTCTCTCTCTCTCTCTCTCTCTCTTTCTATTTCTATCTTTCTATCCCTGTCTTTTTTAAATGTAAAAAGTCTTTCTTCATTCTCTAATTCTCTTTCTATCCCCATTT